TAATTTATAAGTAACTTCTCCGATTTCCCACAATAAAAAAAAATGAATAAAGGCAGAATTTTACTATTGCTGTAAATTAATTAAGGGAGGATATATTTCGATATAAACCAATTCTACACTTTGTATGGTTAATAGCATAAATCCATTACACGTTAATCACCACGTATGTCTTGTAGTGAGGGCAATAAGATCAGAATAGTAAATATTAAGTATATATATATATATATATCTCGGTTACTTTAGTTACTAAAGGGTTTCTGACAGCAGCTAAGGCATCAGTTGTTTCATGTTACGCCACTGTTGCAATGTGGCTAGCGTAGCGTAGCCGTTGAGCTTTGAAGTTTGAATGAAGGGCTCAAGGGAAGTAAGGTTATGTTTAGAATAAAAATAAAAGAATAAAACACAAACTCAAAAATGATTGTTTCTACATTAAAAAATGTCAAACTCCCCAATCTTTACGTTAGAAGTAAGTTTCAACGTACCCCTGTACTTTCCATTACTACTTTTGTGTTGTAGTGCTCCAACGTTTTGCCTCACAGGCAAACAATCCATCCCCCGTGGACGCGAACAAAAGTCTATCGGAATTCCGCAAGGTGTACGTGGAATTTCTACCAGACCCGACGGTCGAATTTCGTAATCCCATCCGAGAGAAACTAGAAAGATTAGATATGCTCGCCAGGAGAGCGCACATCGATATTCCCGAGTTTTATGTTGGTAAGTCCCCGTGTGTTATCGTGCACCTCTTATGGGCACATTTATAGGTTCAATTTTGGCAGTGACCTCTTCGGACCCACACTCGTTAGGAAAGACAAACCGATTTGTGGGTATCTGCATCAAACGAGAAGGTTGCGGTTTGCGAGCGAAATTTATTTTACGAAACGTCATAGATCACCAAGTATGCCACTTCAGAAATGAAAGCTTGTAACTAATCAATTCTAGGGTGTCGAAGTACTGTACGAAATGTACGATCCCGCCTTGCAAAAAATTGAAGTTCTCCGCCTAGAGAAACGATTGGACGACGAGCTGATGTACCTCAGGGATGCGTTGCCGGAGTATAGTACATTCGACATAAACATGGAGGTTGAAATACTTCCCGAAGGTTCACCTGTACCCGTCAACCCTCTTAAAGTCGTTTTAAAACCGAAGCCTTGGCTAGAGAGATGGGAACGACAAAATTTAAAAGGTGTGGAGGAGTTCGAAGTTTCGCCTCGCGACAGAGAGAGGGCTGAGAAAGTGGCGACACCGTGGTTGAAATACGATTTGATGAAAAATTACATGTGAGTTATGTTCTTTGTTTTTAGGAATTTCTAATTTATGTTTGCAGGAAAACTATTCCGGAAGAGGAACAATCCGAAATCTTCAACGAAATTCAAGCGCAACTGCAACAGCTGGAACTGACACGTAAGAAGATGAAGCGAAAACGTTCGTTTGTTAAACCGTTTAAATTGGGCTAATAGAAAGCTTTTTTTATTAAACCGTTTACTCATTTGCAGGGTTTAGGTGTGTAATTTGGCTCATTCCTAAATTTTCTCAGTACAGTATTTGTATTTTTTCGTCTGTCTTACGTTAGGGGTTTCCAAGATCTTTTCCAAGTGAATGTTCCATAAAGTATCTTGATTTGGTAAAGTGGGAAGGAATATGTATTTTTAAAGTAGCAGGGAGTTTCATTACATAAATTTAGTGCAGGTGGGGAGTGTGCATTAACATCAGTGGCACATACTTAGATGACTCAATTGATTTCTGGTTTGTGGTTTGATCGTTCAAATGTTCAGACGATGAAGGGCCAATTTTATCCAACAGTTTAACACATTTTAGTTCTTTTTCCACTTTTTCAAATACTTTTTGGTTAATTTCCATGAGGCCTTTCCTATCATTTATATCATTAGGTTGGGCACACAAAACGTCACAATGCAAGTATCTTCTGCCTGCTCCAAAATTGCTTTTCAAAATTTTAGTTTGTGTTGCTAGTAACTCTCGAACTATTTCCCTAGTGAGATTCCTCATTTCTGTTGAATTGACATAGGTGGTCGTCATATGTTTCCGATTGTCAAGGGAGTATAAGACGTAACGGCATTTTAAAAGTTGCTTCAATTCTTGGTGCTGTTTCTCGACGTAGAAATTATTTACCAAAGAGTTACAGAGTAAATTATACGTCATATAACTTTGAACACCTGGTATACACGGATGGTAGGGTTTTACTTTATCGCCAAATAGTGCTAAGGGGTTCCACATTTTTCTGTAAAGTTTTGAAGATTGATGGACTTGATGTCCCATTAAATTTTGCATTTCACTAATCTTGAAACTGAGACTAGCAACCTCCAAGAAATCTAGGACGTTTATAGTGTCACTTGGAATATCAACTGATGGTAAATGCATAGAGCTACGATTATTACAAAAAAAAAGTTCATAGTGTTTACTATTGACGGCATCAAGCATGTTATCGTCAAAATTAATGAAAGATGTAAGTTCGTTCCACTTTTCAAGCAGTTCTTTCACAATGTCGGATTCCATAAGTTTCTTTGTTGCATGATGCAATTTTTGCCTTGCTGGCATCACCAAACGTATTACTACCTCGGCCATTGCAAATTTTGAGTTGTGATTCGAAAACAGTTAGAATTTTGTTTTTGCAAGTACCTAACTTGATTTTTCACTGTTTTACTTTAGTCTTTTTACATGGCCCTTCTCATACAGTGTCAAATTGGAAGCTTTATATTAAGTAGGCTTCGGATAGGGGTTCTCTGGGTTTAGTTTATCAGTGTGGATTTGTGGCTCAAACTAATCTTATAAATTTTAGGTACCCCCGGGTTAAGCAATGTGTTTGATCAAGTGCAACTTTTTTACTGATTCAGAAGTTTCAGGTATATTGGGTACAATTAATTTGCGGCATGTGAAGGTGTCAACTTTATTGACAACAATGTAATTCATTGTTATATGTACAAATTGCATGCAAGCTCAGTTGGCTTTGAATTGCGCCTGCCTTTCGCAATTTTTCTTGTAAGTTGCAACACGCAATTACAATTTTTATTGCTCCATGTCAAACTGGCTTTAACATCAAAACTACTTAATTATAACTGTGAAATCCAACATATAAAATGGCAACAGGTCTTACTTGGTTTTAACAAGATGGACAAAAAAAGCAATTCCATTCGAGGCAAAGAAATTGTGTCAATCGTGGGTTGGCCCCCTAGGCTTTAGCGTACGCGTAAATCTGGCGCAATATCACAGTAGATCAAATGACAACAGTAGACCCACTTGCAGATGGTTGCACATTTGACTCCTTCAATACTGCGCAACCGCAAGCGCGCGAAAATTTGAATTTGGGTAGAATTGTCAATTGTAAGGGGTAAAGTCATATAATGGGGTAAGTAAATAATACACATAACCTGCAAGCATAATTGAGGATAATTTAGCTTACCTGGCTTACCTATTGTAAGTAGGTGTAGTAGGTATATATTACTGCCATCTTATAGTAACCGTATAGTAACCGACGAGTAACGTCGTAAACTCATTATCGCCCAATTTAACGAGCTTGAATTTAAATATGTTTAAGAAAAAATTAAAAAGTGAATTGCTGCAGTTTCGCATCTCAATCATGATGTAAGGAATTTGCAAAAACTCCTATTCTGTCTATTACTTTTTTTAAAATTGTTATATTGGTACTATGTATGTATTAGGAACTTAAGTGCATGTGAGGGGTCGTGCATTTGCATTTGCATATTTTCGTGTCATGTACATAATATATATATATATATGTGTTAGGTGTTTACGCTTGCTACGTGTTTAGGCCACATGGAAGAGCAGTGCTTACTCACTGAATGTGGTCCTTTTTCCACCTTTTGCTTATTTCTATTTTTGTATGTATTTTTTTTTCCCTTTTCTGTTTTTTTTTTTGGTGGAAATAAACATTATTATTATTATTATTATTATTA